CCGCGCCCCTCCGCCCGCCGCCGCACTCACTTTCTGTGGAAGGCGTGCTGGCACGGCAGCACCCCCAGCTCCTCCTTCACCCTGAAATCTTCCAGGCAGACGGCACAGGTCTGCTGCGGGAGGCGAGACCGGGGGTGAGGGCGGGTGGGATGCTGGGACCCCCCGCGTGTGGCCCCGTTCCCACCGGGAATGCCGTGGCTGGGGACATCCCGCTGCTGCTGCGATTTTTTCCTGGGTATTTCCAGCTGGGAGCTCAGCCCAGTTCCCACCCCACCCCATGGGGAGGGGGGCGTTTTCCCTCCACACTGGTCGTTCCCATCCCGGCCCCGCTCTGCTCGAGGCCGCGGAGCAGAGGGGACGCGCCCCAGCGCATCGTCCCCTCACGTCACCCCAAACTCCATCCCAGCCCAGAGGTGACACCGCTCACCCCGTGCACGTTCAGCCTCCGGGCGTCACCTTTCAAAACCACCTGAGGGAGAAAAGGAGGCAGAGGATGAACGTCGGGAGGGATTTTGGTGGGAGCAGAACGGGGCCGTGTGCGTCCCCGTGGGATGAGCAGCATCGGCCCCTGCTGCGTCCCCACCCGCCTGTGCCCACCTCCCTCTCGGCCCCAAATCGCTGCGGGGGCGCAGAGAACGACCGTGGCTTTACCTCCTTGTAGCCGAACCGCTCGCTCTGAGCCTGGTGCCGCAGTTTGCTGGGGAGAGGGGGAGAAAAAAGGCACTGTGAGTTTTACAGCATCCGCAAGGGTCACGTCTGAGCACTGCAGCCAAAATTATTCAAGAGGCACCTAAAATCAGGGGAACGCGCTTGAAATCGGGGGAACACACCTGAAATCGGGGGAACGCACCCACCCTTCCCGACCAGGATTTTGGGGATAAGCAGCTCTGAGGCTGCGCCTGAGCAGCGATGCCGTGGGCAAAAAAACAGCCCAAGGCTGTGCCCCGGGCAGAGCTGCTCCCGCAGCATCGCGGGGCCCCGCTGTCGGCAGGAATCGGCAGCCGGGAGCGATAAGAGCCGGCGGCCCCGGTTGTTTGCCTTAGGAAGTCGTTGGTGGCGCAGGAAGCGCAGGATTTCCAGCGCTTGCTCGCCCTGCTGTGACCTTGGCTGGGGCGAGGGCGCCGGGGAAAACCGCCTGGCAGAGAAACCCAGTGAGACGTGGGGAGAAGGGGACTGCTCGCAGCCTTCGCTTCTCCTCCAACCAAGACACGTGCTTCTGTCAGACCAGAAATGGCTGAGAGATGCACCGGACGGCGGCGGAGCCGGGGCACCCCACAGGGAAAGGCTGAGCCACCCGGGGCCCTGCAGAAACGCCAGCTGCTGCCTCAGCTTCGGGTTTAAAAATAGCTCTCCCTGAGCGGGGAGTGTAATGCAAAGACACATCCTCTCCCGGGCAGCGCTGCTCCTTCCCTGCCCGACACAATGAGTCCCTCCGCGTGGTCCCCTGAAAAACAAGAGCCCCTTCCTGCGTTTCCTGCCCCGCTCCGGCCGCAGGGGACTGCGGGGACCACGGTCACGCCAGGCCCCAGCACGGCGGGCGACCGGCCCCGCTCCTCAGGGCAGATCCTTCTGGCAAGCGCCTCCCGTGTTACAGGATAAAACAATGGGGTGCTGGGAAGGGCTGGGGGTGCCCCGAGGATGCTGACCCACCACCCCCCGCTCACCTGATGAAGTAGCAGCAGAAGATGAGGCTGAGCACGAAGACAAAGATACCAGTGCCAAAAATCACCATGTAGATGTTCAGTGGCAGGTCCTGGAACGTGATGGGCGGCATCGTGCAGGGTTTACTGGTATAAATCAGCCCCAGACTGCAGGAGCACCCTTCGGGGGGGAAAGAAAAGCCAAGTGTTTAGGATGGAAGAAGGGGAAAAAGAGGCGAAGAGGATGTTCTGTGAAAGCAAAGAGCCTGGGATGACTCTGTCCCCTCCGGAGTTTGCAAAGTGGGCAGAGACCAAGGCCAAGACACTGTCCCGTGGCCTGCGGCTCAGGGATCTCCCCGGGAAGAGCAGCAGCCCCTTAGAGCAGCTCAGTGCGGCGCAGGCAGCGCACACCGCTGCATTCCTGCAGCCTCCAACCCCTTCTCCAGCAGCACAGACGTACCCCAGGCAGCAGGCAGGCGTCTGGGAGAAAAGGAGGCCCCGCGCTCTCATCTCCAGAGAAATACATGGAGGCTGGAAGGGGATTTAGGGAAGGACAGAGCGAAAAAAGAGCTTGAAAAACAAGAACAGTTGGTGTCTGTCATTGCTCCGTGGAAGCCAGAAGGAGCAAGTGGCTGGTTCATCCTTGGGGCTGGGAGAAGCGCCGGGGCTGTGCAGGAGCACGTTCAAGCACCACAGCGACCGAATTCCCTTTTCTGAGCAAAAACGTGGAACGCATCGGCCCCACGCCGCTGCCTGGGCCACCACCTCTCCCTGCCACTGTGACACCACGGGGAAGGCGAAGGAGGGCGTCACGCAGAGGCGGGTGACAGCGCAGCCCCCCCAGGGGGGTCCCCACCCAACCAGGGGGGAAAGGCACAGAAACCCCAGACCCGCTGACACTGCCTCCGCTGGGAGCTGGGGCAAAGTCAGGCTCTTGATGTCTCGAAATCATGCTGACCCCCCAAGAGCTTTGAGTTCTCATCAGATCTTGCTCAGATGGGGCTTTAAAGGCGAGCAGCCCCCCAGCCCCATCTGTGCTCCGCGGAGCATCTCCCCCCCCGGCCCCTTCCGCTCAGCACCCTCGGCTCCCACGCCGCGCAATCTCATCAAAAAGCTCCTCCAGAAACACTTCTGGGTTTAATTACAGCCCACTAAAATCCTCCACCTGTTTCTCATGAGAGGGTGACATTTGCTCCCCACCACGGAGAGCAGAGACAGGAAGAGAGCGGGCGGCAGAAACCTCTGCACGAGCAGCGAGGTCCCAGGTTCGGTCTGTCTGGGTGCTCCCCCCGCCGTGATGGGGAGTGAAGGCAGCAGCGTCGGCTCCCTCAGAGCCCCCCCCAGAGAGGCTCAGGGCGTCTGGGTAGAAAGTGGAGCCCGGGCAGGACAGGCAGGATGGACCCCTGGGGTGGGATCCTGCCCAGGGACACAGTCCCCAGCTAGTCCCGGGCATCTGCGTTGCCACGTGCTTTAAATTTATGTGTCCCCCTGATGAAGTGGCCAAAGCCACCGCAGCCGGGGGGACACTGGGTGCTGGGGACCGTGGTTTGGTGCTGTGCAGCTGCAGCAGGCACCAGACAAGAGTCTGGATTGTAGGAAACTGGGTTTTACTGCTCCGGAGGCCAGAGCCACTGGCTGATCTCTGCCTCTTGCAATTGCTGGAGACAATTCATCGGCCGCCTCAACTCCAGAGTGAGAAAGGGAGGATTTGTTTGTCGGATCTTTCTCTCCCAGCTTTCTGCTCTTGAGACCACCAGGTGCAGGAAAGGACAATAGGAAAGGGTTTTTTTTTGGTTTTGTTTTGTTTTGTTTTTTTTTTTCCTATTTCCCTGCTGGAAACGATTGAGAAATGCTCCAAAAACCCAGCAGCGTATCAGCTCTGAGAAAAAAACCCCACTGAGCAACAAAATGAGGTAACGCTGGTGCACGCGGCGGTGGGACACCGGCTGTGGAGCAGCTGCTGCTGGTCGGAGGAAGCTTCATTCCAAGTTGGCCAGCCAGCCAGCGGTGGGTCGTGGTAACAACATCAGGTCACAAGAGAAACAGTAACACTTCCTGGGTGTAATTCAAACGGAGAACTACTGCAAGAATCTGCCAAAAAGCACCAGCCACTCCCCTCTGCGCCACGAGAGCCGTGGCCACGGCAAGAGCCCAAAGCCGAGCTGCAGCCTCCGAGAGCGGGCCAAGGGCGGGTGCTGCCCCCAGCGAGCGCTCGCTCTGCCCGAGCCGCAGCCTGGCCCTGCTCCGCGGGCACCTGGGGAGAGATGGAAAAGCCCTTGTCTGGCACCAACAGGAGGAGAATCGGCTCTGCAGAGAGCAGGGAAGGCCGGGGTGTGCATCCCGGAGGTTTTCCAGAAGCACCAGGCGGGCTGGGAAGGAGAACCCCGAGGGGGACTGAAGGCCGATCCCGTGCTGACCTCCCCGGTCTTAAGGGGCTCAAACCCCGGTGGACGAACCTCTGAACGTCGCGCCCAGACGTCGCTCCTCTGCACGGGGTCGTCCCTACGTTCCCCGCGCTCTGCCCCGGCCCGTGGGGCAGAACTCGCATTTCCCGACCCCGCAGCTGCGTACTGAGCACTGCTCCGTGTTAGACGCCCGAATTCCCCCCAGGTGGCAACAGCCGTGTGTGAAAGCCCCACGGGAGAGGGGCAGCCACACCAGCAGCAGGATGAGAACTGAGGGGGAACAAGAGATGCTGCAACTTGCAGCCCCGTAGCGAAGGAAGCAGAGAGGAGCTGGTCTAACACGTCCCAGCCAGCTGCAACACAGCTGGCAAGGATGATTGTAAACTCACCAGCTTAGCAAGGCTCATTCCTGGCTTTCAGGAATTCCTGAGCTCCAGGCTGCGGCGCTGAGAAGCGAGCGTGGCTCCGGGGAAGTGCCCTTTCCTGGTCGGGGAGCAGCCATCGGCTCGCCGGGGATGAGAAGGTCCTGCCAGGACAAGCCCTCGAGCAGGGGGTCTCGGTGAGGCAAGGCAGCTGCCGAGCCCAGCCTCCCCGAAAAGCGAGGTCCTCCCCACCCCGGCCGGCCCCTTCCCCTCCCGCTCCTCCCCACCAGAGCTCATCCACACGGTGGGCGCCTTGGCTGGGAGATGGTTTTGATTAGCGCAAACCCCTTCGCCTGACAAAGGCCTTCGTATTTTTAGTTCAAGGGGAGTGGATCAAATCTGGTTTTAACCGATGGGAAATGAAGACCTGATGGCCACCAAACCCATTTCACCAGCTCAAGTCCTCCAGTTCTGTACCTGAGAGCAGAACCCCCGAAGGCTGCGTGCTGGAGCAATTATTTAGTTGAAAAATGAGAAAAGAGGGATCACGACACGCCTATGGAAGCACCTACAGATACGCGCTGACTGTCTGGACTCTTCTCGCCGCAGGAAGGACGCTCGGAAAGGTGCTTCATTTTGCCAGCAAAGTGTTTCTCACGCAAACTGCAAAACCTCCTCTTTGTAAGCAGAAGCAGCGATGGTGCAGCCTGACCTGTGAGGGCTGTGGGTTACACCACCTCCTCCTCTTCCTCCTCCTCCTCCCCACAGGGCTCCCTGGCAGATTTAAGCGCTGAGCTGGCCTAAATCCCCCCCCCCCTGCACGCTGAGGTGAGGACAGGCAGCGCCTCTGGGGGAGCTGGTTAATGGGGTGACCCCAGCACTTCTCCC